ACAATTAATTTACAAGAACTCATATAACAAGTTTTCTTTTTTTTTTTGGGTTTTAGTTTTCAAGACAACATACACAATAGTCCCCAAATGACATCCTCAGTTGGATTACTGTATTATTTTTTTCCGAAAAAAATAAATAAATTGTTGGATATAATAAGTTAGATAGTTGTTCAGATATTGATAAAATAAATTAATATAACTTTAACAAAATGAAGTAGAAACCCAATTTGTATTGAACTTTGATCAATTAAAACTCACCCATGCATTTCGAATAATAGTGTGGATCCATATATATGAATTAATTGTAAATAAATTGAATTGGGATCAACAAACTTTAACCAGATGGAATTTGAATTCTAAATACAGACAAAGTGATACAATTTCCAGCAAAACTTGGTTAGTTAGTTAGTTTGTTTGTTATATTTGCAAAGCTTTCACATGAAAACAAATTAAATTGACAAACGCAGCGTAAAATTTGAATATCCGCTGATGAAGTACTGTAGTAGACATCAACATCCATGGGGGACTATTTTACAGTCTGTCTAAATAGCATCCACAACCACAGGAATGAAAACAAATCAGATGGTCACGTCACCTAGTTGGACATACACCATACATCCATCCGGTTGTAGGCTCATTGCTATTGTCTAATCCAATATGACCTCACATTTTCTTATACACTTGGTAAAACAGGAATAATCTATGATGCCCAAAAGACGTTATACCGGAAAGGCTTTGATCAATTACAATCATCCATGAATTTTGATGAAAAGTCAAACCCAAATCAATAAATAATAGGGGTCTTTATAGTTCAGTCCACCCCTACCCCTAGAATAGAGCTAAGATTTTAGGGGTGGACTGAATCCTACCAGTGGATTGATGTCTATTTCACGGGTAGAATGTAGTTTATAGAAGGGCTATTAATAAATCAGAAGGGAGCTGCAATTCAAATTTCTGAACTAGATTGCAATCTATTTATCCCTAAATAATAACATTTTTAATATGGTTGATTAAAACCTGAATTTAACATATATCTGTTGAACTGCTATATTATTTATTCATAAGATTATTGTCTCTAGAGTATTAAGCAAGTTCCTTACTCTTGAGTCTTGAGTATATAAATACAAGGTATAATTGATTTTGTTTGGGTGAGATCCGTGTAAATGGACTAAAGCAAGCCTTTTGTAATCGTTAGTCTGGACGCGAGGCCAAGCCATTGTGGTAATAAAATTGTTACAAAGGATGTCGTTTTTGTTTTGATGGACATGGAATCAAACAAGGTTATTAGTTAATGGTTATGGTGTGTCAAATAATGGTAATGGACCAGACCGTATACGGACCACCCTACGGCTGTCCGACACATCCACGGATGGTCGGGACCTGTTTGTCTTGTCTAGGCCCAACTCCTGTTACTGTTTAAATTATGTAATGTCCACGACTTCCCATTTTTCTTTTTCTCCCAATTCCCAATCACAACTTGCAACCACTCAATTCTTCGTTTGACCAAATAATCCTCACACTCGCACACGTTGCTAACTGATTTGTGATTTCCGCAACAAATGTTGTGGAGTTCGTGCAATAAGGGTGTGTTGATAATATAATAGAAGCAGTCCGCTAATATTAATTATAATATTTTTCTATAAATATTATTATAATATATATTTTTTTTATATTTTTATGTATTTATATATTAATTATAGTTATTTTGACCTATTTCTCAATGTATCTAAGCGTTTTTATATTTTTTATTCATCTTTTTGCATTTTCAAAACATATTTGTATGTGTATTCATATCCAAATGGTCCAATATGATGTCCAATACCGATACTTTAATCCTTGTGTCAGTCTATTTCATTTTGGCTTCTTATTTTTTGGATTTAATACCTAAAGTCAATTTAATTTTAGCATCATTATATTTAAAAGTACATAATTATTATGCTTTAGAAAAAAATTATTTTTAAATTTAATATTATTCATTTATTTGCATGCATACATCTATGTTAAGTATTTAAATGCATAATACATGTTTATATAATATTCATACATATAAATATGAAGTCAAGTGGGGTTTGGGTGAGTTTGACTTCAGCCCATACTCACACCGTTTGAACAATTTCTTGCAACCTTTATTAGGAATATCTCCCCATGAAAAAAAGCATTTATGTATAGAGATATTCTCAATGTAAGGCTGTAAAAACTGTTTGAACGAGTGTTACACTGACCTAAGCCAAACCTGATTTAGATTGGGTCAAGTTGGCTGAGGCTTTAACCCTAACCTTATCCATTAGTCGAATTCAAACTCTTCAACTGCAACTCTAATTTAACCCGTGTATATGGGGTTTGAGTTAACTTGGGATTTATCACAAAAATAAAAAAGTTAAGGATTTCTAAACTAATTAATACCCTCAACTATTTCTTTATTAAATTATTTATCCATAATATGACAAATCAAATAAGTCACTGAATTCAACCACAGATTGGGTTAGTAATGTTGGATTGGGTTGAAGCCCATTGTAATCATCAGATTGGGCAAGGTTTACATCTTGCAGGATTTTGAGGCTGGTTAGAAGGTATCATTCAAAAGATAAAGGCTTGTTTGGCACATCTTTCTATGTGGTCTTTTTGTTGTTTACAAGTCGAATAGACTGTGTTGCAGTCTTTTTTCATTTGGTTCGTAACAGATTTAACTACCAAAAATCGGTGCACTGAAAAGATGCAAAAAGCCCATTTTGGATTGATTTTGGGAAATTCTAAATGGAGTTTTATAAAGGCTCGTTTGGCACGTCTTTCTATGTGGTCTTTTTGTTGTTTACAAGTCGAATAGAGTGTGTTGCAGTCTTTTTTCATTTGGTTCGTAACAGATTTAACTACCAAAAATCGGTGCACTGAAAAGATGCAAAAAGCCCATTTTAGATTGATTTTGGGAAATTCTAAATGGAGTTTTTTGTATTTTTTTTCGCGTTATTCTTGTACGAAAAGATATGGAAAGATGTACAATAGCCAAACTAGCTTCGAACTGTGCTCATTACATCTTTTGACTGTTAAAGCTATCAAAAGACTTACCAAACGTTCCCAAAGTAGATAAAACAGCTCCTCTGTCCAACATTTCTTGTTTTGTTTGTAGACAATGTTCTTCTAGAATAGAGTCCAATAGAAACATACGCATGTTTTGCTTTACGTTGGAGAGAAACTCTTCTCCAACAAATGGCAACTCTTGTTGCTTACCAAAGACAAGCTCAAGTCCGCACATAATGCGGGCTGGGCCTACACCAAGCAAGTAGGGGTATAACGGTATTAATGGATCAATTTTGGATAGGGCCTCATCCAAATCAAAATCAATCTTGATGGATTGGATGGACCAACAACACATATTAAATTGGATCAGTCTAAATTAATGGTCCAAAGTTTTTATAGGATTGAATTGTACTTGATTCGTTTGTAATGAATATATATTAGATTGGGTTGGATTGAGCCAATATCTAATTCATTGATGAAAAATAAGAATATAGGTGTCAATAGATCAGGTTTATATTAAAATTAATCCTAATTAAAATAAATTTGAACAGATTAGACGATCCAAACAATGAATTGAACCATCCAAAATTATCTAAAACATTCATTAGATTAAATTGGACCTAATCCATTTGTAATAAATTCACTTTTGACTGAATGAGATTGAACCAAATCCAGGCCAATTGACACCCCTACAATCAAATCCAAGGCCCAGCCTATATATAGTATAATATCTGATATAGCAATATAGTATTTTACCAAATATATAGTATAATGTCTTCTATAATTTTTATCAAATATCTATATTACCAAATATATATGGCATCTATACATGGTATAATATATTAATATGTTTACAATCAATTTTTAGATATCTTCTTTAATTTTGATCATAAAATTAAATTAAAATTTTAATTTTAAAAATAATGTTACCCGGACAGGCCTCCTATAAAAAACCGGTCTGGACCGGTCCATGATAATCGCTGACGAAAACGAACGGCACGAAGGAGAGTGGAGACCAAAAGATTTAGGGGCATTTTTGTCAATCAAGGAGGCACTGGACAGGTGGCAAGTTTGCACTTAGACACTTTGCAAACGATATGCCGTGGCGTTTCTGAGATTATAAGCGGTTAAAAGGGGCATTTATCTGAAAATCCATTAGCAGTCTCCATCACTCCATCAGTGAACCCGGTTTGTCCCCTCAAACATGAATCGTCCCACGTTAGGGAGGGAGTGAGAACCCGCCAGCTCCAGCCTCCAGTAGCTGCCTTCACTGCACCAGAAAAAAACCCCTACACCTAAAGCAACTATCCGATTCTCTCTCTCTCTCTCCATGTAATTATCGTTCAAACCCTAACAAGGTCTAACTCCTTACTGTGATGTCATGAATCTAGCTTCCGAACTCTCTCTTTTATCTCTTTTAACTTGGACAGCTTTTGCTAGTGGCTTTGAAAAATCTTGCCCTTCCTAATAATTGAGTCTAGAAACAGTAGTGAACAGCAGTTGATTTTTCTTTATTTTTACTGTAGTTCTTGATTTTGAGATGGGGATTTAAGGTGTTCGAACTTCAAAGAAAGGATGAGTTGCTCTTTCTCACATTGCTGCAGGAGATTGAGACGACGTTTGTGACAGCGAAGGACTGTTTATGTTCTGTCCGAATAGTTACATAATGTGGGGGAATTTGAAGTTTAATTTTCAATTTCTTTGAAAGCGATCATTCTTTATTTGATTTCGGGGTTGGATGCTGATATTCTATTCCAGATCTTCGAATGAATGAATGTTTACGAGTTTGAATACACGAGATTCTTATGTATTGAAGAGAGGAACTCCATTATATTTATATCCATAATGTAGTTGGAACAGGAAAGGTTTCAGTTTTCAAGCTTAAATCATTTCCATCTCTCAGTTCCTTTCTTCATTCATTTATTTATTTATTTATTTATTATTATTATTATTATTATTATTATTATTATTATTATTATTATTATTATTATTATTATTTTATGCTCTCAAAAGATTCCATTTAACTCTACCGTGTTCAGCCGAATTTTAAGAGACAAGCGGAGTTCAGTGCCCTCCCGGCCTCCCCTATCCACATTTCGTTCTAAAAGGTTCCCGAAGTGGGGATTTGATGGTACTGGTTCGGATCAATGACGAACTTTCACTGGTTTAAGCAGATATCAAACAATGGTAGATCCGAAAGGAGGCTCTCCCTCGGAGAATACAAACGAGCTATCTCTTGGTCCAAGTACCTGGTTTCTTCTGGAGCAGAGATTAAAGGTTACGGAGAAGAAGAATGGAGTGCCGATTTGTCTCAGCTGTTTATTGGGATTAAGTTCGCGACGGGACGACACAGCCGGATCTACCGCGGAATATACAAACAGATGGACGTCGCAATAAAGCTCATTAGCCAACCTGAGGAAGACGAGAGCTTGGCTACTCTGTTGGAGCAGCAGTTTACCTCAGAGGTCGCGTTGCTCTTTCGCCTACGGCATCCTAATATCGTCACTGTACGCTCTATTTCCTTTATTGTTAATTGCATAATTCTCTGTGTGTGTTCTCGGCTATCTTTGTTTCCCTTTTCTTGCATTGTGGGGTGCATTGAGAAGCAAAATTTGTGGTGCTGGGGAGCTTTAGACGTCCTGTTTGGCCTTGGAAGGAAATGGAGTTCTCAAACACATTAGACTTAGCATAGTGATTGTTTAATTTCTTTTATCTATTTAATGAATTTTCTGTGTGGAATTTACCCTCTAATGTCTAGTTGATAGTAATATCTTTAGGTGGTAAAGAAGGGCAGGAACGCCATCAAAGGTAACACTGCACCCACTTCTTTGCAAGAACGAGTTTCTAGATACAGACCCTAATTGCGTTCCAATTTTTTCTTCTCACTTTTTCAATTCTAAGTACTTCACTGGGTTTCTGGTTCCTTGTTTAAGCTCCTTCCATTTGACACTAATCGCTTTCATTGATCCATATCATCTGCATGCAATACACACCACTCTGCTTCTGTTACTCCTTTTGAAGAAGAGGGAGTTCGAGCTTCACTAGTTCCAACCAGTGCCCTTAAATGAAATGGTTTTATTGGTTAATACACTTTCTCCAAAATAGTAAGATTTCTTAATTTCATATGCAAGCCCTACATTTTCGAGATTCTTGGATCCAAGATCTTCATTTTTCCTATCAGGTTTTCTAAGTATGGAAAGGCAAGACAAACCCATCATAACTTAATTTATTCACTTAATCGTATTGTGAAAAGAAAAACCAAATTCCACTTTGTATTTATACATGTTCCCTTCTCTAGTATTTTGTTAAATAGCATTTTCCTACATTTACTTTTGCTTTTGGATTTACTGGCCATCCTCAAAAAGTGCTTTTCTAATTGCTGTCATACAGAGAGAACTCCCAATTTCATATCCAAATCTCCATACACCAGCTATCCCAGCTTATGCTTGAAAAAATATCTGATTGAGCATTCCCCATTAAGACATCAATAAAATCTGATGTATTCTTTTATACCCAAATCTTCCAAGTTTCATTTTTCCTGACACCCATGACCCACCCTGCAGCCCTGCACCTCTGGTACAGTGTAATATAGGCAGGATCATAGGATAACTACTTCACTCATATCAGGAGAGAGCATAAATGAAGTATAATTCTGCTGCAATTTGGATCATTAGGTGTCACAAACTTAATAAATGGAAATTTTGGTTATGACCAGTGTTTTGGGATGAGAAACAAAATTTAGAAACCATGCTGCAGACATTTCATAATGTCCAGTTTTCAAGGATTCAAAATCTATTCCAACACTTATCCATCAAATTTATATATATATATATATATATATATATATATATATATATATATATATATTCCAACAATTTGCAGTTTTGTTTGCTTTAAAATCCCTTCTTTGTGGATATTTAATGCAGCTTATCTGAAGGTATATATGGTATGGTTATGAAAAAAAAGGCCATTACCCTATGTTGACCCCAGATATTTTGGAGTTTTTTTTTAACAAAGTGGCTTTCTCAGACTCAAACCCACATTCTCATGCTTGTCAGCTCAAGATTTTACCATTAGACCAAGCAACTTTTGCTATATGCTTAATATATCAAACATATTTATTTATATCTTAGAGGTCATTTCTTCAAATAAAGCCATTGTGGGGGAGGCTGTGAACTCCTTAGGTCAACTCCTCAAGTTTCATGTGAAAGGAGACTTCACTTGTTTCAACCAAAATTCATGAAAACACTTGTGCTTACAGGAGATGGTACATGATGAGAATATAATAGTTATTCTCAGGTTTATACACTTGAGATTTGTGGATATGAGAACTATGGAGTTAATTAACAGCATGAATTGTTATCTGCCTGTGCTAATAACACTTTGTACAGTATTCCTATGCCAAACTTTCTCAATTTGTGCATGCAATGAATGCCATTTTTGCTCCTATGATGAAAAGAAACTCTAGGCTAGTTATGTAAGCTTAGTAATTTTACTGCATGTTGTTCAACTTAGTCTTTGAATATTATTTACTTTCTAAATATCAAAGACATGTTCTTCTACAGTGTGTCTTGTTTAACAAATGAGTTCTACTACAGACTTGTTACTTTATTTGACCAAAATGCATTTATTTCCACTTTCTGCATGCAGTTTGTTGGAGCATGTAAGAAACCTCCTGTATTCTGTATCATCACTGAGTATTTGGCAGGGGGCTCACTGAGAAAATACCTCCATCAGCAAGAACCATATTCTGTTCCCATTGACCTGGTTTTGAAGTTGGCCCTTGATATTGCACGTGGAATGCATTATCTTCATTCTAAGGGGATAATTCATAGGGATCTCAAATCAGAAAATTTGTTGCTTGGTGAAGATATGTGTGTGAAGGTGGCAGATTTTGGGATTTCATGCTTAGAATCTCAGTGCGGCAGTGGAAAGGGGTTCACAGGTACTTACCGCTGGATGGCACCTGAAATGATAAAGGAAAAGAAACACACAAAGAAAGTTGATGTATACAGTTTTGGCATGGTCCTCTGGGAACTTTTAACAGCACTGACACCATTCCAGGACATGACTCCTGAACAGGCTGCTTTTGCTGTCTCACAAAAGGTACAAACGCATTACCATTTTTGGCATATTTCTAATTTCTGTTATACAGAAAATGCTACTAAATGGTCATGTTCTCGTAACAATTGCACTAATTTGGATATAACATATGATCAATTGTTGCACCTTCATTTACTTAGGGCCATTTGAGAATGGATTGAATGGCTGAACTGGATGACTTATTGCAATGTCTTTTAGTGGATAATATAATCACAAAAAAAAAAAATTACAGGTGTAGTTATCAACTCAACATGCCATTAAGCCATTAAGGAGCTCACAAAGTACTTAATGATTTATTCAACTAAAATCCAAAGCAATAAGTCATTCAATTCAGCCATTTCTGTCTTTATCAAGCTGCCAGGTAGTGTTTTTCCTGTTTCAAGAATAGATTAGATTTGTGATGCTACATAGTGCCTTAACAATGTGTAGCTAAGTCCTTTCAATGATATAAACACCACTTTGAAACCAGTTAACATGTTGATGTAGATATCCATCCTTAAATAAATAATGGACCTGAAGTGACAAGGGCTTGAGTTCAATGTTTTCTAATTTTACCTTTTTCCCTAGGTATTTTATGTAAGGAGAAAACTCTGACTGCTTTGAATAATAAAAAGGTTATATAATAAAATGTGGCAATTTTCTTATTCAACTTCCTTGCTAAGATTCCCTATTCCTAGCAGCTTCTAAACCTAGCAAAATCAATTTTCTTATTGGTTATTGCAAGATTATTAATCATACTTTTAAACCAACCTATGGAGCTAATCTTAAAGTGGATTCTCTTAAGAAACACGGTGCTTGTAGGCTACTGTTGTACATAGAATATGATCATCATTATCTTGCATTTTCTCTATTAATAAAATTGAATTTCCATGTTATTAATGAAAATGTCTAGAGATCTGCCCTCTGTAAATGTGACAGATTATTACTTCAAAACTTTGTTGTATATAAATATTTATTAAAGTAAGAACATCTATATATACTTGTATTTCTATTAACATTTGATGCATGTAAATTTATTTTTTGTTTTTTTGGGTGACTTTTACCCAGTTTTATGCTAAAGTAGCATATGTTTTATATACCCTTTGATGTAATAGGAACCTTTTTCTAAACTTTAAGACAAGAACCAGAAGCCTCTTTTTTTAATGATATGTAAAATATATTGAAACCTTAAGTCTTGTTATCTCTATCAACTAATAAATTGTCTCGTGCTTTTTGATAATAATGAACCAATTCCTAAACTTCTTATTTAGCCTGTCCGCTGCCTGTTTGGACATGCATTTTTTGCCCATGATATGATTTCAGAAATGAGTAGAGCCACTTTAAAGATCTATATGCAGTCTGTCAACAGAGATCCATTGAAAGTGTATAATCACAAGATATGAATCGCTTCAATCAATTTGGAAGGGAATTTCTGTGTATGTTGAGTCCTGACTTCATGATGCATCTATGATTCATAATTTTCTAAACTTGACTGGAGATGTGAATACCATATATAGGTGTTGCTTTGGTTAGCCATGCTGATACTATTTGCTTAATTACCATTGTTCTTCCCTACCCTGTACCCTTTTTGTTTTTCATTTTCCCCATTTTTTAACACTTTTGAAAGTTTAGAATTTGAACCAGGATCTGACCAACTCAAACCAGGAATCATACTATTTTTTAGGACGGGTTCTTTTAGTACATTTTGTATACCATGTACATCATTTTGTCATATTAATTAACCTTAATGTACAGAGAACCATACTTCTGATATTAATACATTATACTTTGCCTAAAAAAACAACTTATTGCCACCTGAAAAAATGAAAAGAAAAATCAGACCTTAACACAAGACATTCGTACAGAAAGGAAAAGTTTGTTTAAGAGAAATGGGTGTGGTGAGAAAGATGTGAACCGAGATATGCAGTTCATTCAATGATAGAGTCTAAAGTTTGTTTAAGAGAAATGTTTACAGATTTTATCGTTCCTTCAGAGATGAAGGAAATATTATGATGATGTCTATCTCTTTCCTAATTTTTGCCAAAGAAGACAAAGTTAGAGTTCTTTACATGTCATATTGGTGGATTGATACAGAATGCAAGACCTCCTTTGCCCCCTACTTGCCCACTGGCATTCCACCATCTTACAAGTCGATGCTGGTCAAGTAACCCAGATAAACGGCCACACTTTGATGAGATCGTATCAATTCTTGAGAGTTATGCTGAATCTCTTGAACAGGATCCTACATTTTTCTCATATTACAAGCCATCAAAACATGATACATTCATGCGATGCATCCCAAGGTGTATTACTATCTGTAGGTCCTCTTGTTTGAAAGCCTAGACATGCAGTATGTACCATATTTTTCTTTTCTTGCAGAGGTTCATATTTTCAATTATGAACCTTTTATTAACGTTAGTTAAAGATGATTCCTATTGGGGAACAAAGGTGTTCCTTCTCTTCTATTGTTCTTAATGCATAATCACCGTTATTTACCTTGTTATCTTCATGTAGAGCCAGAAACTGGACTCCTGAATTATTTGAGTATATTGAATATATCATGTTACACTAATTCTCCCACATTTTCTCTTTTCTATTCTCTTTAAAGTTCACTAAGTTTTGCATAGTATATTGCGTAATTTTGTAGTTTTGCATGTGTATTCTGGAGGCCACTAACATTTTTCTTTCTATCTTTTTTTTTTGCTGGCTAACAAAATAATCTTTTATGAAGCAAACAACTATTTCAGCAAACCAATTTATCATGTACTTGGGTCTAGTAATCTCATCGTTACAGTACAAGGGTCCGCTTGGTTTACAGTTGGAATTGGAATCAGAATGATCTATTTTTGTTTGGATCAGACAGGAATTGGAATCAGCTGAAATAGGATTTCATTCCCAAGGGAGGAGGGAATGACCGTCCACTAAGAATGAAAATGGGATTCCGATTCTGCCAAATTAAACAGTTGGAGATTTCGATTCTAGACCTCTATTCCCATAAATCAAATGGGCCTCAAGTTCTCTTTTTTTTCATTGTAGTACAAGTTATGATTCAAAAAATCACCCTCTTCCCACTTCTCATTTTTCCCAAGCGCCTGGCTCTTTGATCACTGCACATCTGCACCTGATTTGCAAATTAGTTAAGAAAATTGAGGGGCTAAGTCGATTTTGATCTTTTGATGAAGAGGACCTTAGAATTCGGATCACCAAGGTTGTTGGGCATGCTCAGTTTTTGCCTTGGCTTTAATTTATGGTTATAGCGTTTAACATAGAAGTAAAATATATCTACATTCTACATTCTATGGTCCAAGTCTCCGAACACAATAGATGAATTCATGGTGGTGTTGGTCCTGTAATGTATAATGTGTGATATGTAATACAAAAATAAATAAATAAATAATATAAAGGTGGACTTTTTTTATTCACTGTCTCTCCCTGTTTATTTCTTTCTGGCATATTTTGCTCATCTTAGATTTTGGTTGTGCCTTAGTGGTTCCATATTTCCATCTAATGTAATTTAAAAAAAAAAAAGTCTAAGAGTAAAATTGCCATCTCTACTCCCGGGCAAGGTTCAAAATATTGATATGCCCGATATTCTGGTAGGGGTGTATTGGGCTATATTGGTACTTTTTTTATTTATTTTTTATTTTTTTTCAAAACCGGTTTAAGGCTTCTCCACCCCCTGAACCAGTCAGAACCTTGATACACCCTCTATAGGGGCGTATCGGGGAGCTCTTGAAACGATACGTATCGGTCGACATGTGTCAATGCTTTGAACCTTGCTCCCGGGTGGTGTAGCCCTATAAAGAAAAAAGTTTCAAGTCCAATAAGCCCGAACATCTTTTTCCCTTGCATCGCATGGGGCCCGTTAGTATTTATCATGCGGTATAAGATTCTAATCAAAATACACTTACTATAGTGATATATTTCCCAATTTTAGGGGTTGTTTGGTATGGATGGCATTTATAAAATAAATGTTTTGTACGATTTTGTCTTGAAAAACAAGACAAAATTTGCTTTAAACGTTTTGTATGATTCTTTTACACCTCAGCGCCATATAAGCCAAACAGTGGTGTTGGGTATCAATGTAGCGTTTCAGAGAAACAATGCCAGCTCAGCATTGTAGATGCGCTTAACAAAAAAACACCTAAAAAGTTATTTGGTTGAGCTATTTATCATATAAATGGCTCTCTCGAAAATTGTGTGAATTGTGAACTGTTTATAAAAAACACCAAATTTGACGGTTTTCATTTTCAAGACCAATTTTTACGGTTTGGCTCATATGGCGCCTAATGGCATCTAGTGGTGCCTAATGGCATTGAGGTGTAAAAGAAATTCACACAAAACATTTAAATCTGATTTTGTCTCATTTTTCAAGACAAAATTGTACAAAATGTTTATTTTATAAAGGCCATCGATACCAAACAACCCCTTAGTCATAAAGTTTGTTGTTTAATTTTAGTTCCCTACCTTTTCTTTCAAATCAAACATAGCCTTAAGTAGGGGTGAGCAAAAAAAAAAAAATTAAAAAACCGAACTGACCGAAATCAAACCGAGAAATCGGTTAATCGAACTGGTCGGTTCGGTGTTTTCAAAAATCGAAGGTACCGGTTCGTTTTGGTTAACCAATATAGAAAACCGACGGTTAACTGAACCGATCGGTATACATATATTTCTATATATTTATGTATATTATATATTTTATATATTATAAATTAATAAGTATGCATTATATATAAATATATATTTATAATATATGATATATTATTTATTATTTAAAATATAATATTATATGTTTATAATTTTTTATTATATATTTATATATATTTTTATAATATATATTGTAAAAATCAAAAAACCGAAAAAAAAATGAACCAAACCGATCAATTGATTAACCGACTGGCTTCGATTCGGTTTCAGTTACTGGTTTTCCAAAAACCAGTAGTACCAGTTTGGTTCAAAAAAAAGCCCCACGGTTAACCGAACCGTAAACACCCCTAGCCTTAAGGTTTCTCACATGGATAATGGACCTCAAAGAAATTACATTAATAGGGGACCACTATGGTAATATAATCGACTATTCCCTAAGGCTGTGTTTGGAAATGATGCAAATGGAGTGTAAAGCCCAGTTCAAAGTAAATTTGCACTCTGGTTCACTTTTGCCTATGTTTGGCAACATTACATTTATGCATTAACAAATGACAGACCCATGCATATTTACATTGATAATAAGATGTAAAAGTACATTAATAAAAAATAAGTAAATTTGCATTCAAGTGGGCTTTTGATTAAAAAAAAAAGCATATGGTTTATTGGAATTCTTGTTTGCATCCATTACAGCAAAAAATCTGTTTGGTAAGAAGGTAAATTTGTCGGTACAAAATTAACCCAACTTTGCAATTTATATAAACAGTTTTACACTCTACAAATTTGCAGTCACACTTATTTGCATCGTTTCCAAACGCAGCCTGAAGTTTTATATTTTAATTTTGCCATCAAAGTAAATCGCATATGAATTTCTGTTTTATAATTTCTCGTCTCTTCCTATTTTTCATCCACCATTTTATTCCACTGTTTATTAGTGGGATAATTCTGATTTAGGGGACCGCTGGTTTGTATTCACTAATGTCTTTTTACAGACTTATAGTATCCATGAAGGTTTAGGACCCCGAGAATTAGATTGGCATTCAGCCCATAATTCTCTAACATCTCCCGACCTCTAAGAGAGTGATGAAGTTCATATAACCACACCTACTTACAACAAACTCGTGGCCTCATTGCCTCAATAGTAAAGCCCGGAGGGTTTAAAGTATGGATCGTATCTATCTTGGACTTGGAGTTCCAGAAACATTAACGCTGTGTTTGGTTGTACTATAAATTTATTTGCACTGATGCAAAATTATGGCAGTGCAAATGTTTTGAGTGTATATTTTGATTTATTTTTGTTTTAAATTTTATTTTATTTTGTTTGATTATAGTACAAATGAAGTAAAAAGCAGTATAAAACAAAATTAAACCAAAATTTGCATTTTTTTCATTTATACTCACATACATTTGTACTAGTACAAATAAAATTGCACTACAATCAAACATTGCCTAAATAAATTGAGTTTTAGACTTATTTAATGCCCGATATGTAATTTTTTTCATTGTGGGCATATTGTATGGATACTTTTTTTTAGATCTTCTAAAGAGGCTACACAACAGGGGTAACCCATTCCCCAACCCAAGTGCTGGCAGGATTCGATCCCAACTTCCCAAGTCTCTGCTACAACCAACAGAGACCATACCAATCGATACTTTGAATTATGACCTAGAGGCCAGAGTCATAATGCCATATTACAACGGAAATCCATGTACATCATACCTACGAAGAGAGTGCAACTCACCAAACGAGACCGTAATGATAAGGTCCCCCTTCTGACCTTCTCCTCCAGTTTTATGTAGTGTAAACCCTTTCGATGAGGGATAATTTGGCCCGACCAGTGACATGATGACACGTGGAGTGACCCATCGACTTGGTGACATCTCAGCATCCTCGGACACCTCAGTAGTCCAAGTCACCTTGGGCACCTCGGGTCACTTAGCTAGTGTCGGGATCCGAGCAGCTCGCCACACTCACCAACTTGTCAAGGTGCCATGTAGCCTTCTTCTAGAAGCGAGTCAGTTGTCTTCGATCTCCTCGAGATCACGCCACACACCAACGGCACTCAAATCGAACGGACCTAGATAAGCCTTATAAGCTTATACAAAGTCCATCTTCGGGTGCGGAACAGACTTCGGGTTGGATGGGTCGATGATCTCGAACACGTTTTGTGAGGCCTACGGTAGCTCGCCTATATAAAGGCATCGCCTCTAGCCTCATAAGGTACACGCGATTTACCTCTCACAATTTGCTATTTTAAGATATCAGCTCTCTCTCACAAGTCTCCCACACTAACTTAAGCATCGAAGTGCCCACACCGGGTAAAGTACCCCAGGACCTCTGGTATCTCTTTCTTGCAATTCGACCCATTTGCATAATAGTTCAACGTCTGAACTACCTTCTAGTAGGGAGTGACTAGATCGCGCTACATCACCTTCCAACTCTCAAGACTTTTCCCTGTGCCCATGATCATTCGACAGGGTGATCTGTGTTCATAGACCGAGCTAGGCCTAACACATGGTAACACAACTTCTATATAAGCTCAAACAGTCAAACCCACACGCTGGGTTAGACAAACCATGAAGTATTGGTCCCAAGCCCATCCCAACTTACAAACGGGCTAGACCGCTGAGAGGGTTATTCTGAGCTTAAATAAAAAACCCTAGTCCAAGTCGGGAAATTTGTAGGCCTTACGATCATTCTAGCAATGATTCTCCATGATCATTGTCCAAAGCAGTAGTGATTGTCCATATTTATCTTTGGGGTTTTTATAGGTCAGTCCACCCCTAGAAATCTAGAGCTCCACTCTAGGATGCGGTTTATAGGAGGGCTACTAGTAGAGTAGGAGGGGCTGCAATTTATATTTTTGAGGGGAATTGCAATCCAAAAATCACTTTATCTTTTTATCTTTTACCTTTTAGTGGTAGTACATTGCCAATCAACAAGATTTCTAGAATTCAGAAAACCCTTTTAATTTATGCTAATTAGGGGTGTCCACGGTTCAGTTAACCGAACCATGGGCATATTTTGCAAACCAAACCAATGGTACCGGTTTTCCATTTCTCCAAACCAAAACTGAACCGATACCACCGATTAACCGATTTGTCGGTTTTGATTTTTTATCAGTTCGATTCTTCGGTTTTTTATATTTATAATATATATTATATAAATATATGTATAATATTATATTATAAATAATAAATGATATATAATATATTATAAATATTTTAAAAATATATAATATATAATATATAATGTATTTATAAATAGATTATTATAAATATAATATAAGTATATTTATATATAATATATAGAAAATATGTGACATATATTAAAAATATATATAAATATAATATCTATACTACCAATAAAAGAGCAAATGCTCTTCTGGAATTTTCAATGGACATTTTTTACCCTTTTGTCTAAGTATACAATGGGTATAAAGAGGGCATATATGTCATTTACTTTCACTTCAGAAACTGCCCACTTATAACTGTTCAAAAACTGTCAGGGTGTTGGAACCATGAATTATAACTGTTTAGAAACTGCCTATTTAATACCTTAATTAATTTTTGGATAAATGAATTATAAAAAGTGACCATAAATTATAAATAGTTTTGTTTTATATACTGCCACGTGCAAATGCACTTTACTAGTACATATAAATATATATACCGGTCGGTTCGGTTAACTACCGATTTTTTGTAGGTTAACCGAAACCCGAACCAGTCCTTCAATTTTTCAAAAATTCCAAACCGAAACAGAACCGATTGATTCAATTAACCGCATTTTGCGATTCGATTCGGTTTTTCAGTTTTTCATGGACACCCCTAATGCTAATCTAATGCACCGTTGGAATTATGGATATTTGCAAATTGCAATAACAAAATTTATATTGTTCCAGTATTGAAATTTGGAGGTTCAGAAAACCCTATTAAAGCTCAGTTTCTTTGTATTGTAAATCTGAACCAAATATAAATTTTGAATCCAGTTCAGTTTTGAATCTGTTTGCTTATAACTATGCTTTAACCCCTATTTGATACAAAATTTTATTTGCATTTATTGGTAGTATAAATTTTGCATTTCAAAAACTGATGCAAAATTCATACCACCTTTCACTTACATTAATTCTCTATCATATTACCTGTGGGCTGCACGGTGTTGGTAGGCACCCTCTCCCTCTCACCTATTTCTTTACTTGGGTAAGTGTTAGCGCACAAGAATGCTTACCCAGATAAGCAAAACGAATGAGGCCTAAGATGGAACCACATCATTTTACTTTCACAATCAAATAAGACAGGGCAAATTTTGAAGTAAAAGTAAATTGAAATTTACACGCAACCTCTTTGTACTCCCAAACATTTACACCAATGCAAATAAATCAATTAAAATGCAACCAAAAGTGTAGAGAGAATTGGGGATATAGTCTTCATATGAATGATTAAATCATGGAATACTAAATTAGAAATTATAAAAATTAGAGAAATTGGATAATCCTGACAGTTTGGCCGAGTGGTCTAAGGCGCCAGATTTAGGCTCTGGTCCGAAAGGGCGTGGGTTCAAATCCCACAGCTGTCAGTTAAAATTACGGTTTTGTTGTTTCCTTCTTGCAAAAAGAAAAATATATATTCGGACTCGGACGTATACTCCACTATCGGCAAAAGCCGCAAACCATTGAATTTGAGTTGTTTTTTAATGTACCGGGTCCCACGCCTCGCTGGAACAATCCAAAACAGGTAGGTGGCGCTCCACTTAAGTTGTTGCCTTGTTGGTGGACACCTCATTCTCGGTTGTCATATTTGGATGAAAAGAGCTCAGCTAACAATAACCACATCCTAAATACCATACTGATAGAGAATGGTAGCTCCCCCCCCCCCCCCCCTTATTTCAGCCAGATGGAACAATCATGTGGTCCAATTGGGACAGTCTATCAAATAGGGGTCCACTGGATCAGCCAATCAGCCATGTAGTCAATCCCATTGTGCCCTGAAGTTTTACCCAATTGATCAGAATTCATAACTGCCCAAGGTTTTATTTTTAGTATAACAAGCAGAAGGAGAAGATAAGATGTCCACTCTTTATATAGGCTTTATGTGCATATCGTGAAAGCCAAGCTAGATTTCCACTTTACTAATACATATAAAAGTAATCATACTTTTGAGTATTGGCTAACAATTTTGGGCCCATACTTTTTTGTTCATTAAAGAGTAGTAGGCAGAGATTCCTGTTTCAGCTTCAAACTGAATTAATTGTTTATAGGAGATTCCTGGGTTATTTAATTTGGGGCAATTTGGATTTCAAGAGGCTCTTCCCACCATTTATTAGAAAAATTAGACCATCTTGGCACATTCAAAATAGGCCCTCTTTCAAGTTTCAATTATAAAAAGAAAAAGGGAGACAGCAAATTCTTAGTATTCACAGCTACTATTAGATAAGCAAAGCTTCAATTGGATATAGAGACCATATGGCAAATCCAGTTGGCCACCTTTCTAATGGACAGTTCAGGTTTATTTATAGAATCTTGTGTAACAATAACAACAACAACAACAACAATAATAATAATAAGGGTTAATTACAAAGACACCCCTTATTTATGGGCCTATGGGATTAGTGACAATTATCTTCCTAAACTTTCATTTGCGATAAGGACTTTTCTGAACTTTTACTTTGCCATAAATACCCCCTGATCGTCAAGTTAGATGACAGATTGCATTAAATTATCAAATATCTATTTGAACCTTTCTTATTTTCTTTTCTTTGCCCTTTTCTCGTGAACCAGCTAAAATAACAGGAATCATTTTACTAACATAGAAAAATAAGTTTATTTAAATTCTTGTTTCATTTCAATGACATGAATGTATCTCTTCATTTTTAAAATAAAACAAAAAAAAAATATCCACTCTTTTCTCCAATAAATCAAGAAAAACCAAATAAAACCTTAAATTTATATCCATTAGAAAGAAATATCTACCATTTCATCTAAATAATGAATTCAGCCAGAAACCAAATCTGCAAGACTCTATTAGAGCTATTGAGAAAACTTCAATATTATATTTAAAAAAAAACTAATTAAATCTTAAATCATTCAAACAAATAAGAAAATGGTAGTTTGGAGATTTAAAAAAAAAATTAAATAACTGAATTAGAATTTTTTTGAAATTAATTGACCAAACTCTAATGGAGAGGAGTATTTGTGCAAAGTGGAAGTTCAAAGGGTGTAATTGTCACTGACCATAGAAGGGTCCTTATAATTTACCGTGATGATGATGATGATGATGATGATGAATAATTCTTTTATCTATGTACTTGGCATGGGACATGGTCCCTAACCGATAGTAGATTGACTCAAATTTAATTGTACTTGGAATGGGACATGGTCCCTAACCCACCTTAGATTGACTCAAAGTTAATTGAACTCGTTGGTTTACCCAACAAGAAATTATTTGACTCTTCTACTAATTAGTTATCTCTTAGTAAAAGGTTTTGAGTTAATCAATACAAATTTGTGAATGAGATTTTTTTTTTTCTATATGAAACTATAGACGTTTTGAATTGATCATTTACAAATTGTTGTCTCTATCTAAAATATTAAATTTGATGTTAGAACTATAAACGTCAAAGATCAGTCCTATACATACATTAATTAAAGTTACTCTCATATATGATATGACATGACAAAACATTTTCTCTCTATTACAGCAATGCTACCAAAAAACAACCTTAGATTTGAAGATGTTTTCTGTTAGATTGTTAAGCTTTTCAAGGGATATATAGTCCTTTAAATTTACTTATAGTATTTATCTTATCTTTATGCATAGCTGGCTTCCTAATATAATGCAATGGACAATAGGACATCCCATTCGCTCACCTCCATTTTTTTTTTTTGTAACTTTTGAGAAAAAATGGACACATCACCAAAGAAAACCCTATTTAAAAATGTTTAAGGGGTGTGTCAAAAATAGGGAGTAATGAAAACACTCTCGTGTCATCATGGGATGTGGCCTTCAGTAATAAGCATAGGTGTGGCATGGAGGGTGCCCTCATCATGGGAGTCATGACATGAGGTGCCCTTTCAAACCGTCAGTGTTCAGTTCTTTGGTCCAAAGCTTCTCTCAAAGCGAACTCCAACTCAAGCTGACGAGATGCCCACATCATAGAAGCTACTAGGTTCAGGTGCGTGCCCTTTGCCTTTGGTCCACACTCCACAGCATCAGCACCTCATATTCTGTAGACCCGAAAGGATATAAGTCATTAAGTTGAACTAAACTAAAACCATCTTACTTTTTAATAATGAACAAATCCGGATAGAAGATTTGACCCGGCCCGACCCATTTAAATGACGCAGTTTGAGTCAGACGTGTTGTTTGGTCAGTCTGTGTGTGATCTTGGGTCGAATAGAATAGTTGAATAGATGCACATGTAGACCTGTTTACATAATTACATTACAGACCACGAGGTCAAGAAGTATGGTGGAGATGGGAACCTGGGAATCGGGAAGCGAAGCGCGTTACTAAAGCGAGGATCCGGATCCATCACATCTCTCATTTCCAAAATTAAATGTGAAATACCAATTTAAGCCAAACCATTTTGTTTCCAAAGAAGAAAAACATTAAACCATCACTGACACAAAAATCTAGTAAGCAAACCTCTACGCATCAACGCGCCACAGCATACATGAACATTGATGAACGAACACATGATTCACTCGATATCAGGCTGGTTTTTGAAGGAAAATGTGACCGTACCGGGGTATATGAGTCTTCTCGAACAAAATTCGATCGTTGTGACACGTGGCAAGTTCTACCCAATGCCAAACAACAGACAACAAATCAGCGGACGGCGGTTCCAAGCGCGGTGGGGGGAAAGTCGTTTTCCCTTTGCTTCGACATTCTACCTCTTCGCGCGCAACCTTTCTCCTCTCTGATATTTTTTCTTTTTTGGATTATGATTATGATATTCCTCTAAAAATATTCGCCCCAATTCCGATTCTGCCCTTACGCGCCTGCCCAAATCCTCTCCCCTGTCTTCTTCTACCCCTCACACCTTATATAGAAAAGTGTGATTTTTCTTCTCTCTCGCTCCCTCTTCAGACAATACAAAACCTTCGCGTTCTCTTTCATGGCGGATTGTTAAGGTTTGGACTCTTATTCTTCATATTTATTCTCATATTCACTTCCTGAATTCTCATATTTGTTGTTGTATCAGATACAAAGATAGATTTGGTACCTTTTTTTCGTCTGTTTCTTTTTTTTCCTTTCTGGCTTTTGTTTTCAGTTTTCCGAAGTATTTGACATGTTTTTAGTAATGTTTCTGGATTAAGTCTTCGATGTGGCGTTAAACTATACTGATTCATGGAGATTCATTAGTGAAACTCTAAGTTCATTTTTCCTGTAATTGATTCATAATATGGAGAACTTCAGAGGAACTATCTTTTTTTTTTATTGTTTGGTTTTTGATTCGTGTCTTAATGCAAGATAACCATTTTCAGTTTTTGACACCCCTAAGATGATTATGTTAATCCGTAAATACCGTCGTTTTGGTTAATTTTGGAAGCTTCAACGATCGCATTCTGGTAACGTTTGGATCTGTCTTAAGTTTTTTTTTTCCCTACTTACTGTTTGTTCTATAATTGTTGTTTCGTTTGGCCATTTTATATCTACTGAACATGTAACATTTTAAAGTTGCCGTTCCTTCTCAATGGAAGGTTACTTGATTTTGTCTTTTGCTTATGTTGTTTAGAAATAATTTTGCAGGTTATTTTTTTAGTTTGAGAACTTCCATTGATCTGTATTGAGTTTCAATATGCCTGAATTCGTCATGGATGGAGTCAATGGTGAGGGCGTAGTGAGTGAAGTAAATAACAATTCCGCGCCTATTAAGGAAAGTTTGGCCCTTAGTAGGTCGCCGAAAAGTACCTTGAGTTCCCAAAGCGCTCGGAGTGATGTTCTTGATATGCCTTTGGACGACATGGTTAATACCTCTATCGAGCAGCTTTATGATAATGTCTGTGAGATGCAGAGCTCTGATCAGTCACCGTCCAGGATTAGCTATGTGTCTGATGGTGACGAATCAAGGCTTGATTCTGAGTTACGCCATCTTGTTGGTGGAGATATGAGGGAAGGGGATATAGTGCAAGAGGAGGTGGTGAAACCAGACGAGGGTAATGGAAATGATTTAGTTTTTAACCAAGATAATAGGTCTGCTGATAAAGCGTCCAGGACGACTAATAATACTCAGTCCACCAGTACCAAGTCTACTTCTTCAGTAAAACCAAAGAGACCCTCCCGATTGCAGGTGGATTCCAAGGCATCTGCAAAATCAAGTCCTAGGAACAAAACACCACATGAGAAGCCTCCTGTTGATAAATGGGGTGATAAAAATTCAATAAAACAACATACTGGACTTTCCCCTGTGAAGAAGCAGAGAAATTTTGCTCTAGGAGGGACAAATTTACCAAATGGAGTCAAGGATCTATTACAAGCAAGCCTAGACAACCCTGATCTTGGGCCTTTTCTACTAAAACAAGCAAGGGACTTGATTTCTTCTGGTGATAATCCCCAGAAAGCACTTGAATTTGCCCTTCGAGCAGAAAAATCATTTGAAATATGTTCAAATGGGAAACCCAGTTTAGAACTGGTCATGAGTTTGCATGTTATAGCAGCAATACACTGCAGCTTAGGCCAGTATAATGAGGCAATTCCTGTTCTCGAGCGTTCAGTTAAGATTCCGGTGGTGGAAGAAGGCCAGGATCATGCCCTTGCTAAATTTGCTGGGCATATGCAGTTGGGTGATACATATGCAATGTTAGGCCAGCTTGAGAACTCCATAAACTGCTACACAATGGGTTTGGAGGTCCAGAAGCAAGTGTTAGGGGAATTGGACACAAGAGTTGGTGAGACTTGTCGCTATTTGGCTGAAGCTCATGTTCAAGCACTGCAATTTGATGAGGCTGAGAAGCTCTGTCAGATGGCTCTTCACATCCATAGAGAGAAGGGTACACCTGCTTCTCTTGAGGAAGTGGCAGACAGAAGGCTCATGGGTCTTATTTGTGATACAAAGGGAGACCATGAAGCAGCTCTTGAGCATCTTGTTTTAGCTAGCATGGCCATGGTGGCCAATGGCCAAGAAACAGAGGTTGCTTCTGTTGACTGTAGCATTGGAGACACTTATTTATCATTGGCTCGGTATGATGAGGCTGTTTTTGCTTATCAAAAAGCCCTCACTGTGTTGAAGTCCAGTAAAGGAGAGAACCATCCAGCTGTTGCTTCTGTCTTTGTCCGTCTGGCTGATGTATATAACAAGACAGGGAAAATAAGGGAGTCCAAGTCTTACTGTGAGAATGCCTTAAGGATTTATGGGAAGCCTATTCCAGGGGTACCCCCAGAGGAGATTGCTAGTGGTCTGACTGATGTTTCTGCTATCTATGAATCTATGAATGAACCCGAGCAGGCACTGAGGTTGCTTCAGAAGGCTTTAAGGATATATGACAATTCTCCTGGTCAACAAAACACAATTGCAGGCATTGAGGCCCAGATGGGAGTTATGTACTATATGATGGGGAACTATAATGACTCATACATTTCCTTGAAAAATGCTATTACAAAGCTTCGGGCAAGTGGGGAGAAGAAGTCTGCTTTCTTTGGGATTGCTCTAAATCAAATGGGCCTTGCTTGTGTTCAGCGTTATGCAATAAATGAGGCTGCAGATTTATTTGAAGAAGCAAGGAATATTTTGGAACAAGAATATGGACCATATCATCCTGACACATTAGGAGTTTATAGCAACCTCGCTGGTACCTATGATGCAATGGGCAGGTATGTGTGCTTTTATGTGGCTGTGCTTGGTTTTTATGGATGCTACATTCATTTCTTTTACTGTCTGAGATTTAGATTCATTGGTGTAACATGCATTATTTTGGCTGATCTTTAAATGACTTATTGTTAATAACTATTGCATATTTTTTGGGTTGATCTAATTAGGTATTATCTCTCGGATAGGGGGTGATACAGATGTGTTATAACCATTTGGGAGATTAAAGTTTTGGTTAACCATATGGAAAGACAAGTTTGTGTCAGATTAACCATATGGCTAACCATATTGGAAAGACAATCTTGTATCAGATTAGCCAATAATATGCTTTTCCATTGCCTTTGGTGCCACAAATCTATCCTGTAAAACAACTCTCTCTCTCTCTCTACACACACATACAAAAGGGGGGGAGACAGAGAGAGAGAGAGAGGATTTGATTTGCAGTTGCTAAACATTGATAGAAATTAGGCCATTGTCGTGATTAACTTAACAACTGGAAGTGACTTTTTCAGGTGACACATAGGTTCAAATTCCAGAAAAAAGATAAAATGAGATGATATCATTTTGCAAGCATTCAAAAATGCAGTTAGCAAATGATGACACGGAGTAGATTGCCATGTTTCTTGAATAAAAGATTTCTAAATCCATGTCTTTTTGTCAAATCCACAGACCATGCTTGTTAATAGCCATCATCTAAATATCTTTTGTTTTCTGATCATACTATTTTCAGGTTAGATGATGCCATTGAGATTTTAGAATATGTGGTTGGGATGAGGGAGGAGAAGCTAGGGACGGCGAATCCTGATGTTGATGATGAGAAAAGGAGGTTGTCTGAGTTATTGAAAGAAGCAGGTAGGGTGCGGAGCAGGAAAGCCAGATCACTAGAAGCTCTCCTTGATACCAATTCTCATTCAACAGAGAAAGATGTCATAAAGGTATAATTATGTTGGCGATGTATGAAAGCATGTATGTAGAATAGGATATTAAAAAGAAAAAGGTTAGGTGATGGGTGCTTTCCTTAGATTCTTTTTGGGAAGGATGAAGGAGAAAATAATTGAAGGGAGGGGCTTTTGGTTGCAAATTGCAATAATTGATTATATTATTTTTCGGCGGGGCAAAGGTGGTTGTATTTGCATTTCATTGCTCCAAGGAGTTGATGAAATTCCTTTGTCAGGTCCTGATTTTGTATTCAAAGAATGGAGGAAATTCCTCCCCCCCCCCCCCCTCTCTCTCTCTCTCTCTCACTCATTTACAGTACAGGTGTTAAGTTATACCAAATGATTGAAGAATGAAGCAATAGTCCTGTTAGATTTGATTCTGGTCTCTTATTATCATAATGCTTGATAAATTTTACATGAAAAGAAATTAAAAGATGAAAAGTGATTCATCTAATTATTGTAAACTTTCGGTCTCCATGGCTGTCTTGTGAGATGTCCTTTGCTTCTTCCTGCACCAGTGCAAGTAACCCAATTCCTGCAGACCGTGCCCAGATATCGTTGATTGGAAGGCAAGCCTTCAGTGTTTGTTAAAATATTTTCATGATCATACATTCATACTTGCTACTTCCAGCCTCAGGGACAGAAAATTTAAAAACAGCATGTTAATACCGCCATGCTTGCTAACTTTATGATTTAAGAATTTGGCGTCGATGCGTTTCTCTTCCCTCAAAATTAGAAATTTCAACAAGGAACGGCACATCAGATTCAGAAGGGACGTGCACTACATCACTAGTTCATCCATATCTGTATGGACATGAATGATGAATAGAATCTCAAATCAATCCAATTGACATAAAAACCTCCTCTCGAGTATTGACCTAATGTATTCCTGCAACATGATTACATGGTAAATACACTCTTAATTGGGTGATGGGGTGAAAATCAAAGGGAATGTTCGGTTAACACTCATTATTGGTAAAATTGACATTCCACCAATTCGATTGATTAGAGCTTAGCTTAAAAATGAGTTTTGTGGTCCGAAGCGCTAACCTTATCAATGAGTGCCTTTGGCTTAGAGGCCACACATCTGATTTGGTACGTGGTTGCCGTCAGGCCCGTCACTGCCCATCTTGTATCTTTCCTTCTTTATAAATCATTCAAAAAAGCATTTACTACTTTAATTGATGGCAAGTTATCATAATTTCCTTTTGCCACTCGTCTGAATCAGATTGGTTTCGTAGAAAGGCCAAGTATTAAGCCTTGAGATTCTTGATGCATCATTATATGTGGTTCATAATTTCAAAGTTAATCTCCTGCTAAGCATTGAAATGTTTAGAATAGACAAAGAGGAAAACAACTAGAAGAAAGAATATGAACACACACAGTGGTTGCACACCTGTTCCAACTTCCAACCCAATTGACGGTTTAACACCCATAGTGATTTATGCATGTATGTGCATGTCAGTCGTTGTCATCTACTCATCTTACAAATAGGATATTTTTTAGGGGAGAGAGAGAGAGAGAGAGATTAGCATTTTTGTTGTGAAATTACTAGGCTAAAGGCCTGTCATATAATCAGGTCTTGTGACTCTTATCAAGGGTTGGTTCTGGGTCTATTACTTACCGACCCTATAGGACCCTTGTATGAACTGGAACTGGAACTGGCACTGGACCTGGGCTTTTCTAATTGTTTAGGGCATGGATCTGCCCATACCCAAACCAGCCCACTTACTCCGGCAACCCGAGACTCAATGTATCAATTGCAAATTTATCAACTTATCTGGTAATTTTTCCTATTTAGTTATAAGCAATTATCTCCTCAACAAACCAGTCTTTTTCAAATTTCATCTCTTGAGGAAATTAATGGATTAATTAGGGTAGACATAGACACGTCAAAGTCAAACATTTGGGCTGAAAGCAGTGAAAGGGTAGAATCTGATGGACCCACATGCAAGATACAAAATATTCACTTGCCTATGCCCACCACAATGGGGCTCCTTACATAGTGCACCCCGTCGGACCATGTTAGTCCCCCAAAAACATAATTCTGAGTTGAACCACCTTCCTTGATCTTGAGAGTAACCCTGTATTTCTTTTCCTCACCCATCTGGTTGAATATCAGCCTCTTGGGTTCTACCATCACTGAAATTCCGGCAGGTTCTCGGATGCGAACATTGTAAATTCCAGGAGAGCCGACGTTCTTAACCCTCCGAGTCAGGGAGACTGATCCATATAAACTGGGGACGCTTATTGCTGGATAGTTGAATTCCAGCAGGCTGGTGGACTTGGGGCAATTATAGTGTTCATTTGCAAATTTTGCAATCAAATCCTCACTGTACCCCAGAGCACACAAGAAGTATAAGTAATCCTGGATGGTTACGTCGTAGACCAAACCAGGGTCCATTGCTCGGTTTGGTCGCACATGCCCAGCTCCATTACTAAATGGAGTTCCGCTGTCCTGCGATGACCCGTGTATGTGCTCTCTCATATTGTCTCTGTTTCTAGCTGTGTAAAAGTAAAACAACTATGTTTGCATTAGAATTACACCAAAGATGTGGAAATGGCTACTGGGGCAGGAAAAAAAAAAAAAGTTAAATTGTGAACATTGAAAAAATCGAAGTAATTAATCACCGGTGGTCATTAAAGCCGATTTGATCGCCGCCGGACTCCAATCAGGATGAAGTGTCTTGAGCAGGCCGACGATGCCGGAAACATGAGGGCATGCCATTGACGTGCCAGACAGAGAGTTGAAGAGAACTCGACGTGAATCAAATGGAAGGTCAGAAGGCCCAGTTGCTTGTGTAAAAGCAGCTATAATGCTCACCCCCGGTGCAATTACATCAGGCTTTTCACACAAGGACCGTACATTTAGTAGCTCATATACATTAACAACCTCCCTAGATGAAACAGTACTGACCCAAAATGTACCTTGAGTATCTCCGGTGTGACGCTGTTTGGTCCCTGAGATGAGAACGAGGCAACAGTGGGCGCCGGTTTAACATCTAGCTCTGTCGTCGCAGGTGAAATGTAAGCCACCGGGGACCTAAACCAATTAACGTGAATTTTCTCAAAATTCAAGAAAAATAAAGAATCAATAATGTGCAAATTTGATTCAGTAACTAGAGAATCTAGAGGTCAGTCCTGACTCCTGACCCAAAAATTAAAAGGGGACTCAACCGTAAAAATCCCAAATTAAAAACCAGTAAGTATATATCCTTGATGAATTCACACTGGCTGCTGATAGCATGATATTTACGACTGAGCCTTGGAAGACTTTACATTGGCAGCATGACGGGTTGGTTTCAAAGCAAGCAACCCAATCGGATTTCTGTTATCCCTAGCCTTGAAATGACATGATAGTAAACTCACTGAGTGGAGTTAATGTAAGAGAAAAGGGAGAGGCCATCAGCTGCAGAGATATGTGAGGTGGGGAGAATATGGGCATCAGGAATGGTTTCATAGCCGGAAGTAATGTCGTTGACGAGAACCATCCCAATTCCACCTGCGTCCATCACTGCCTTGCCCTTCTCCACTCTCGGGTTTGTGCCCCGAAGACATACCAGAATCTTGCCTTTCGCCATCTTGGGGTCGAGGGATCCGATAACGCAGCTCTCTCTGTATGATTTTTGAGTTTTCGAGCGAAATCAATGCAACCAAGTGTCACAGCGATCAATAGCAAACATTAGTTATATACTTCAATTCACTGCATATATTTGCATGTGCAAAGTTTGATCCTTACGCATCATGTTCGGTTGCATTCCCAGCTTTAGCATCGACTGATCTAATGACTGGATACATCTTCTCTGCTGGCAAGCTGTCAGGTGAAAGGCTCTGTCCCTGCATTAAGAGTAAACAGAATGCTATTCTTATTTCTTGAGCAGCTGAACCTTTGTTCTATTTGAAGTTTAAAAATAAAAAAGGGAGAAACCTTGAAACGCAAGTTATTTCTGAGTACAACGTAAGTGGAGAATTGGCGATCAATGGTACTGGCCCCAACCGTTATAATCCAAGGTGCAACGTTGTTGACAGAACCCCAAGCTGGTCCCGTATTCCCCGCTGAGCAAACCACGACCATCCCTTTCTTAACGGCGTGAAACGACCCGATTGCTACACTATCCGTCAAATAATCGGTTGCGGTTTGTCCCAGAGAAATCGACAGCACATCTACACCATCGTGTATCGCAGCATCAAAGCCCGCAAGCACGTCGCCATCGCTACAGTCGGATGAACTACTGTCGCCGGTGGGCCAACAGACCTTGTATGCGGCCACTCTGGCATTCGGCGACCCACCTTTGGCAGTTCCGTTGCCGTGTCCGAGGACGTTGGCTCCGGCTACGAATCCACCCCCAGCAGTTGATAGGGTGTGGGTCCCGTGACCGTTGTAGTCACGAGCGCTGGGTAATAATCCGTTGAATCGGGTCGAGTAGCCTTTGTTGAAGTATCTCGCTCCAATAAGCTTCCTACGAATTACACCATTCTAAGGAGCTTTGATAGATTCGATGATGAGAATTGCCTTGTTAAGGCGATGATGAATTGAAACAAAATAATTCTGAATTGTAGACCTGTTACAACGAACTCCAACTTCGGTGTTATTCTGACAAAATCCTCTCCACCTTGATGGAACCGGTCCCATTCCCTTGTCGTCAAAGCTTTCTGATTCAGGCCAAACACCTACCAATACATAGATTAATTGCATCTGATTCTTAGCCTTCTTAGATATGAGATATAGGTATTAATTAAGGAGGGGAAAGGAACAAGGAACGAATACCGCTGTCGAGGTTTGCGATTATTACATCTTCGCCGAATCGAGCCTTCACCCAGATGGATTTCGAAGGAATACTTCCATTTCTCTCCATTCGGAGAAAATCCCATGACCGCGTTGTATGCAGTTTATTTCCCTTGTCCAAGAAAACCGATACAACTTCCGGATGTTCTAAGTAGACAGAGAGTTATTATTAATAACAAGCACACAATACTAATCAAGTACTACATTTAATAAGAACAGAGCCTCTTACTTGAGATTTGTTCTGCTTCTTCATCTTCAAGATCTGCAGCAAAACCGTTGATATGTCTCGTGTAAGAGTAAAAAATTGCGTCTTTTGCCTTCTCTTTACTATAAAGTGAAAAAGAGTTGTTCAAAAAAACAAATAATAAAATAAAATAACCTTAGATAGTTCCCAGAAATTTATCACCTTCCCAAGAAAGAACCGAGAAATTCGTAATGAGAGTCTTCTATTCGATCGAGATCGATGGAAGATGTTTCTGAATCGTGTGAATGTGCACCGAAGTACACCACGTAAGACTATATATAAAACCAGAATATTCGATCAGCAGATGTGAGACTGATAATGCCACCATGCATGCATGGGGGATTGAGAAAGCTTCTTTAAATTTATGGAAAAACAAAACTAATTGAAAAAAAAAAAAAAATCTCTACTTTGTTTCATTAATTGTTCCAACAGATGCCAATCTTTTTAAGAGAAAACAGGATAATCCTCACCTTTTTGATAGCAAACGTGGGTCGTTGCAGCAGAGAAATAACCAGAATTACCGTCCACGAAATACAAAGACTAAGTCGCCCAACCTCCATGTCTAGTCTTTCTCCTCTTCTGGTTCTCTGTTTCTTCTGCGTTTATAGGATAATTCTAAAAGAACTACCACTCAGTATTTCTCCACCTCAACGTGTAAAAGTAGGACCGTTACATTAACTTGTTAAATTCAATGAATTAGATGAAAAAATAATTAACTCTCACACTATTTCAGTTTCCCTCTCAAACTCATTCTGCATTTGTTTTCTTTTCTTTTTTTTTTCTTTTTTATTTTGTAATCTGCTCGACATAGAACCGGAGAGAAGATTAGATGGCTAATTAACCGTTACAGAGCCTTGAAGTTAATATACAGTAACTTACGTTTAAAATATAATGAAAACGGACCTCATCTGTGTTCCCGGAACGTGCTCTGTGCATATTTTGAACGTTGTCACTAGTCAAATCTTTGGAAGAATATAATAACTGTTTCAGATCAGAGACTGAAAAGAGAACTTCAACTGTGCTGTAATTCTATTGCCCTGGATTATTTTCAGTCCGGCTTATAATGCCTAATGCAGGAGAACTAGGTTATGATGTGGAGCGGATCATATCTGAGGCTAATTTGTTCCGGTTTGGATTAGAATGTGGTTTAGCCGGTTCTGTCGCATACCTGTATGTGCTTCGCGAATGTTCATCCGAGTCTTAATGAATCAATGCCCAGACCTGATGAACCACTGGCTGCCACCAATGATCGTGGACCCTGAGGTAGAGGGTGCAGTCTGCAGTGCAGAGAAACAGGTGTCACTCCGGGAATGAAAGGACACTCAAAGGAGTGCAGGGTGGGGGAGTTCGGATCTGCTGTAACCGATAATTGAGTCCGGATCTGATGAAAACTAACAGGCAACAGCATTGGCCATTGCATACTGTAGATCCGATAAGAAAAAGAGGGCACCACTTGTTCTTTACACCGGTGGTGGGTGGTGATATCTTTGTCGTGGCCAATGCTCTAGCCAGTTCCCCCAATAAGGGTCCTGTAACACGTTTGGTGGTATATCTGGTGTTATAAATAGCCAAGGACAAACCTAAACATTACTTGAGTAATTATCCTCAAGATGGATGGCCAAGTCGAATCCAAGTTCGAGATACTTGTAACATGGTTTTAACGACGCAAAAATAGAATCGTTCTGGCCACCGGTTTTCAGGTTGATGGTTCGAATGAACGGCCAAAACATTAAATGGGTCGATGGATCAATGATTTGACCACCTGGGTCACTATGTTATTGACTGATTCAACGGTTTGTGGTTAGGGACCAAGTTTGGAGTAAAATAGAACTGGTTACCTGGATGGTTCTCGGGCTGAATGGTCCGACTGTTGGGGTCAACGATGGTTCAAAAACCATGACTTGTAAACAGAAGCACAATAATAAAATGGGAATGATTACTTTTATATATACTCCATTCTGTATGTTGTATTTGGTTGCAATGCAAATAAATTTGTATTGATGTAAAACTATGACATTATAATAGGTTCTGATTAAAATCACATTGAATTTGGGTTACCCCTTTCCAAGCCAAACAATTCAATCTTGTGTGTATTATTTATTTATTTATAAGGGTAAATTATAAAGACCTCCCGTACTATGGGGCCTGTGACAAAGACCCCCATGTACTTTGTTTTGAGACAAAGACCCTCCTGTACTATGACTGTGAGACAAAAATCCCCTTCTGTTAGTTTTCCGTTACAATATTTTTTAATCCCCATATTACCCTTGTAGACAATTGAGAGAAAAACATTGTTCATCTTCCCCATCATGACACACTAACAGCAGTGGTGGTAATCCACATTTCTCTCTCTCTCCCCCTCTCCCCCGATCTCTCTTCTTCCTCTATAGGGAGTGCTCCAAAACCCAAATGCATCAGATTCTACAGTCATGTTCTTCCTTTCATTTGTTTTTCTTTCCTTCATCTTGTTTTCCTGGGAGGCAGATTGTTTGTGTACGTGATGGGGCAGCAGTGATTTGGTTTCGGGAGAGTATCACACACTCTCATAGACTGTTTTCTTTTCTTTTCAATCCATGGCGCTGCTGATGTCGTTCCCTCGATGACTTATGCTGTCGTACCAGATTACTTATCAGGAATTCCAACACTGCCGTATCTGTTAAAGCTGTAACGCATTATCGTTGCAGAAGTCGCTCAACTTTCGCCGCTTGATGTCTCTCTCCGCTGTTTTTATAGGAGTGGCGATGGAGATGGAGGAGCTAGTCTTCTTGCTTTCCGAGCTTGAGTAGTACCGGTCAAAAACGTTGACTGGCGTGTCCGAGCTTGAAACCATATATATCAAATACCGACTTGTAGCCGTCGATCACTATGTCTTGCATCATTCTGCAACAATCAGACAGGTTCTCGTGTAACCTGGAGAAAATAACAAAATGGATTTTAAGAGGGGCTATAAAGAACACATCTCATTTGTAAAATGGGAAAGTGCTTACTTTATTTACATATACACAGGAGGAAATCTCTTTTTTAAAGCAAGGAATTGCAAGGGAAAGAACTAACTGCCGTTGCTACAACTATCGATGGCTTGAACTCTAAAAGTTTGATCTCTGTATAAGTAATAGGAGAGATTGTAATGATCCAATAGAGACTTACTCTGATGTACAATTACGAAAGAAATATTTCTATATGCAATAACGTTATTTCAATTTACCGTTTTGAGCTTTAAGATAATCTCTGTTGCTCTAGTTTTCAGATCATGTATTAGAGGCGGTTCTTTGATTTTGAATAGAGAAAGGAAGTGTAAAACCAGAGCCTTTTCTGGTTTCTACTTTCTTGATTTTATTCATTTAGAATGCCGAAATATATACAGTCGAGATCCTATTTTTACAAGGATAAGAGGATGTATTGGAGATTCCTGATTCAATTACAACAGAGACTATTACTAATTGTAATCCTAACACCCTCTCTCAAGTTGGAGCATGCAGATTGTGAATGCCCAACTTGCGGAGAAAGTACTCAAATTCTTTGCGACCCAGTGCTTTTGTAAAAATATCAGCCAGTTGAACGGTAGTCGACACATAAGTAGGACGTATGCAACCATTTTGAATCTCATCCCGCACAAAATGGCAATCAACTTCAATATGTTTCGTATGCTCATGAAACATTGGGTTTGCTGCAATATGCAAGGCTGCCTGACTATCACAATATAATCGCATTGGGTTTGAATGCGTAACTTCAAGAGCCAATAACAATCCCTTCAGCCATTTTAATTCACATGTGGTCGTGGCCATAGACCAATACTCTGCTTCCGCTGAAGAACGAGCTACAGTGTGTTGTTTCTTAGTTTTCCAGGAAATCGGCGATTTCCCAAGCATAACAAACCACCCAGACAGAGAACGTCAGGACAAAGGACAGCTCGCCCATTCTGAATCACACTATGCATATAACTGCAAGTCACAATCTGAACGCAAGAGAATTCCTTAACCAGGATTTCCTTTCAAGTAGCGCACCACTCGCAATGCAACCTCCCAATGTCTTTCTTGCGGCTGCTGCATGAATTGGGACAAAACATGCACACAATAAGACAACTCTGGACGCGTTGCTGAGAGATAAATAAGCTTCTCCACCAAGTGTCTGTATCGCTCAGGATTAGATAAGAGGGGCCCATCTGTCAAGGCGAGATTGTGATTCTGCTCCAGAGAAAAAGGAGCAGGTTTTGCACCAAGTAATCCAACTTCAGAGATAATATCCAAAGCATATTTTCTTTGAGATAAAAAAAAATTCTTATTGAGTTTCGGGCAACTTCAATGCCCAAAAAATATTTCAATGATCCCAAGTCTTTCATATAGAAGCAGTCACTCAAATATTTCTTGAAGACTTGAATTGCCATACAATCATTACCTGACACAATAATATCATCCACATATACGAGAACAAGCACATGCACCATGTCTTGACGAAAAGTGAAGAGGGAGTAATCTGAACATGATTGCTGAAACCCATATGTCTTCAAGGCTGCGGTTAATTTAGCAAACCAACATCTCGGCACTTGTTTCAAGCCATACAGAGATTTTCGCAACCGACACACCATACCTGGTTTATCTGACTGAAAACCCGGAGGCATTTGCATGTAGACTTCCTCATGAAGATCACCATGCAAGAATGTGTTATGTACGTCCATTTGATGAAGCTCCCAATTTCTAGCTACTGCGACTGCAAGGAAGGTACGGACAGTAACCATTTTTGCAACTGGGGCAAAAGTTTCATTATAATCAATTCCCTCAACCTGCTTGTTCTCAAAAATCACAAGACGAGTTTTATATCTTTCCACTGTCCCATCAACGTTGTACTTGATTCGATAAACCCATTTGCATCCTATGGCTCGTTTTTCAGATGGCAAAGGCTCCATAGTCCATGTCTGATTATTTTCAAGTGCCTGTATTTCTTTCTGCATAGCATCCCTTAATTTTTCATCCTTTACGGCATCAACAAAAGAAGTGGGTTCAACTCCTGCAGTAATAGCTGCCAAGAAAGCACGATGTCGATAAGAAAAATTGTGACAGTTCACATAGTTATCTATGGGGTAAGGACTACCTGCAGAATGTGATTGGTCGAGTGAGCTTGCAAAGGGACGCGGAGAGGGACTCAAGCGCTGTGTGGTGTGAAGCACATAGTCTCTTAACTTTGTGGACTATTGTTTCTGTCGATGCCCACACCCCAAATGAGAATCAGAGTGCTGTTGTTGCCCAACATTGCCACTCCCCTGACGTCAGGACTGTCTTTGCTTACATTTTTTGTGGTGATATTAGAAGAATGCATGGGTTTACTAGTATTGGCATTCGGGTCTACGTGGGTTCATTCTTCTACACTAACTCCTTCTGCGAGTTCACCTCGCTAGTTAGTCTCCATCTCGCCATTTGCCAGTCCAAGTGAATAAGTGGATGGTACCAACACCTCATCCGTCAATCAGACGGATGTTGATGGCTGTTGAACTCGCCCTCGGTCAAGAGTCACTCCTAAGTGGGATGTGAGCCATTGTTACAGAGCACAGTCGGATCTGAATCAA